GACCGCTGCTATATTCAAGAGCCTTTGTTAGAAAAATAAAGGTAGATATTATATTCACTTTGTTACGTATTTAAAATGATTTGATCTTCCGAGCTGAACTCATCATACGCTTTTCTAACATCATGACAACCGAATTTTGTATTTCTCGAATTTAATATATATTACAATAATTACATAGAGTGAATTTATTTTTATTTTATTGTCTTGCTAATTTTTTAGAAAAAAATAGAAAGTTTCGAGGGTGAATTTATTCTTTTGGTTTTTTTTCAATCATCTATTCATTAATTCTTTTAAACCACCCAATTTTTAATATTTTTCCCTTGGAAGTAATTTCTCCCGTCATACCGATATCAGAGGAAACTGCTTTGTTTTTAATTATTATTTTTTTTTTTGTATTTATTACTTCATTACATCTTTTATTCCTGATAATATCCTTACATTCATATTCTTAAAAATAAACACTCAACATTAACCAGAAATTTTAAATTCCACCTAAAAATTTAAAATTAAAATTTCTTGCTCATTCATTCCGAAATTTGACGTAAGTTTTTTTTGCAATAGATCATGAGGTGTGTGTTACAATCTATGTTATGAAATTGTAATCAGTTAGAATAACAAAGAAAAAAAAAATTTCGTTGTTGAAGAAAAAGTAATTCTAATGCCAAGAGTTTAATGTTACAATCGTAAAGTGAATAGCGTCTTAATCTACAGATTTGTTTTTATTTAATGTGGGGTCTGCGCATTTATTGAAAATTTACAAATTTGTAAAAGAAAAGTTATAAAGATGTTTTTGATAATGTATGCAATTTAAATTTCTTGTACGCCCATCTTACATGGATAGAATAAGGAAATGAACAAAGTTAATATTTTCAAGCTAACAACAACTTATAGAACGAATCAAATCTTTTTTTTTTTTTTTAAAAGTTAAAAATTTTCCACGAATTAATTTTTATGATTACGTTGACTTTAAAATACAATAATTTATTTTGCGCATGTTTTTAGCTACTTATTCAAAATTAACAAAATTAGTTAATTCATTTTTAGGATAATATTTAAAGACCAAAACCAGATTATAGGTTACTTATAAATGATGGATTCTAAAATGGTATTTTTTAATGAGATTGCTTAATTGATGCTCGGATAACACGCATTTTTTTTCCCTGTTCCTTTTTTAATCTATTAAGGTTTGTCTTTGAGCAGGTTACACAACACTTGTAAAATAATCTTGTAATTAGTGAATTATAAAACATAAATCGCGCTGCTTGATTTACAGGTTGTTTAGTATTCGCGCATATCAACGAATTGCTTTGCTTTGTTACTTGAGTTCTTGTGAATTAGGTTAAATTTTATTAAACAAAAATTTTTTTTTTTTTCTTTTTGAACTGCTGAATCGTGGAATTTTATTTTATTTTTTTCAAAAATCTAAAACTTCCCGTTCTTTCATCAACAATCAAATAATTTCTCTGTTAAACTCAACTTATATACCAATCATTGACTAAAATGAAATTCCTAAATACATATCGATATCTTTTTGATTATTACAATTGCTTCATTCATATTGCTTATCTCACCCGAGGTACCCATACCGATGTACCATACGGATGTACCACCACCTAAACCTTTTCAATAATTCTTGATAAATTATTTTTTACAACCCAATCTGATAGAAATTTTCTTGTATATATTGTAAATTTATTTATTTATTTTTTATTGAAAAATCAAGAAATAAATAAAAAAATATGTATATTTATATATATAAGTATTACTTTTAAATTTATGTTTAATTCTCTAATTTTGTTTGTCTTACTGTGATCCCAATCGTCCTTAGAACATTTGGCATATGTTCTAGATAATGATCTTCCTCAAACGAATACGGGGCATAACTGACTTCAGAAAATCCAAACTCCCACTTGTGATCGGATCCTTCGTATTTTTTTGAGATCATTACATCAGGAACTGTATATTCCTTACAGTTTGATCAGGTAGTTTAGATTTGATGGTGTATAATGGTGATTTTTTTCTTAAAAATAACAGGGGAATATTTTATTTTTTATTATTCTAATGTTCGTTATCTTTTTTGGTTATTATAATGATATAATTACCACTTTATAATCTATCTGTCATTCCACGATCCAACTATATCTTTTTCCTTGTTCTTCAAAAATAAATAAAATGCTTTAGAATACAAATCGATCTCCCTTCATAAATAATTTATTTCCTTCTCCTGGGTCTGTATATTATCTTCTTAGCTCCGTTGTAACGCATTTGGGTTACAACAGCAATATTACTACCATCAGGACCCAAATATAAAACTTCGAGGCATTCGGTGATCCATATTAATTTCATCTGCCCATAAAGTAAGAATGTTATTTTAATCATCTCTATAATTAAATCAAAGATTTATTAAATCATTTGTTGCGTCAAAAGTCCAAAATGTTGCTGCCATTTTTATTATTAGTCAATGAGAATTTTTTGAACAAAGTTCATTTTTGAGAGTATTAAGTCGTTCTTCAGATTTTTCGATCCTTTAATATGATGTTCCGTAAGAGTTGTACATTCACCTCGCGAGGTTCATCACCCCTCGCAACTCCTGTATCTGAGAATCGAGGAGATCGTAAGTTTAGGGCAGAGGATCGTGATTGTTAAGGAAAAGATCACGTGCGTCGAAAACGAGATGCTCCACTCGTTTTTGTTTAAATAATATTAATTTGAGGTTGAAAGTTTATGTTCGTGCTCATCTCAAAAGATGTAAAATTTAACAGTTGTGACGACTTTATTAAAAAATTTCAAGCTACATACTGTGAAGTGATTACGAAGATCCGCTTTTTTTATACCTTTTTTTTTTTTTTTTTTTTTTTTTTTTCCGCGTAAATTTAGTTAATAATGATCGATATTTCCATTAAAGTATATTTTAAGTAGTATTGTGATGATATTTTGGAAAGAATTTTTTTTTGTTGACGTCTTAAGACGTAAATTCGTTTTATATGAACTTTAATTATCTCTCAAAAGAACGAAATTTTGATCTCAAATTAGTTAAGAATAAACTCTACTAAATGTAGATACATAATAACCTCATTATAAAATTTATTTTAAGGTATTTTAAGTCAACAAGCAAACAGAATTAAATAATTGTATCTTTAAAGGAATATAATGATTTATTAATGAAACTCCTAATTATTAACGATAATGTCGTACGTTATATGTAACATAAGGTTTTCTCAACTAGAAATCCCTCAGGTTCCTTTTAAAATTCATTTTACTACAGTTATTGCTGAAGGGCTCGGAGTTAATGAAATAACTAAATACTACTTTTACAAAGAATATATAACCAGTACTTTTTTTCAGGTAAATCGCATCAAAAGAAAAAGCAAATTCTTAAATGTTGTAGATTAACTGAATTTGTTTTATATACAACTGTTTTCTTATTTGACCTTTTATTATTACATAATTATCAATTGTTTCCATTCTCTAGATTTATAGTTCTCCAGAGATAGATTTGAGGGTTCAATAGCGATTTTTATAATAATGAATCGAAATTTGATTTTTTCGCAGTTATAAAGTAAAATTATATATATTTATTTTTATATTTTTATTTTTTTTTTAAAAAAAAAAACGCGAAACTTATTTAGATTTTTTTTTTTTTTTAGATATTCTAAGCCTCGAAACTACAAAATCGTCCAAAGTCGAAATTATATATTAAGAAACACTTAAGAAACTGAGCTATGCTTCTGTTTCCTGGAATTGTCCCGAAACCAAGCAAACAAGCAATATTAACTTAGGCCTGCCCAAAGAAAAAAAAAATTGATCAATTTATAGTCGCTTGGCAAAAACTCTTGGGTTTCGACGAGATCACTGGCAAAACTATAATAAATCCCTTATTGACAAAATCGAATTATAATAAGATTATATAAAACACGCAGTTTGAAAGAGAGAATAAGAATTTTATTATAAGTCTTTTATCTCAAAATTTTATCTAATATTACAATATAGATAAGATAATAATACTAGGGAAACGGTAACTAAACAAGGGCCACCTCACCTTCCAACAGCAGTACTTATCACATTTGATAATTATCAAGGCCCTTCTATCACCGCTTTAGATGGGACTAAAGTTGTCCGATCCGACGCACATGGAAGAGTAAAATCGCAGGCAATGTTCACGACTGCAAGTCCCTATTTGCCTTGCATGGGCAAATACAGTGTATAAAAGTCAGGGACTTACCTTGCCAAAAGCTAAAGCAGCTGCCGTTCTTTCTTTCGTTGTAATATCTAGGGTCCGTACTCTTGAAGATCTTCTCTTTCGACCTTTCAGTTTTGAAAGACTTCAACGCATTAAAGAATATAAATGGCTGCAAGAAAGAAAGGCTGAGAAGAACGGTTACTTTCAAATAATTGTATGGCAAGCGACAAATAGACATTAAATAAAAATTGATCAAATCGACGTGATCGGCTCGGACAGAGAAACTCGTGTTATATATTGCATAGAATTAATGTCCTTCGCTTCGCTCCGGACAATAACAAATATATAAAATATAATAAAGAAAATACTAGAGACGCCGTTCAGTAAAATGCTGGAAATCGTACGCTACCACCGATAAAATTGTCTTTGGAATTGCAGTCAATATAATTGATATGCTCACGGACAACAATTTGCTCCTATATTGAATGTAAGAGCCGGAAAGATAAATTACGACAAAGAAAACATATCAAATATAATAACATATTAGATACATTAAATATGTATGATAAGTAAGTTTTAATAAATATAGACATAACATAATGTTCGACAAGTTTGACATTTATTCTCCTATTTTCAAAAAGCTTCCTCGAAGAAGCAACAAGATAATAGTCTTGGGTACGATTATGTTCATAAATGTGTAAGTGGCCTTTAACATTATACTTCAAAATTGTTTCACATACGAAGTTTCTTGTAGGGCGTCATCTTTCGCCATTACAAATTTCATATTGAAATACCGATGGCAAGCTGGATGATTACCCCTACAAAGTAACGGGAAGAATAATGTGAAGAAAATCACTTTTAAGTTGAGTCGCCTCGATGTTGGCTTTAGAATTTTGAATATAGAAGAGAGATATTAATTTACTCACGATGCAACGTTTTATGGTATAATTTTTTTTATTTTAAATCGTTAAAATTTCGAAGCTAAATAAGGATTAAAAAAATTAGAAAAATAACTTTTTCGCCTTCTTTACCAATACTTCTCACCATAACGGTAAATTAATACGAATCGAATAAAAGATTTTTTTCATAAATAATATTAAAATTAAAGATAAAATAACAATAGTTTGTTTCACGAGTGTTCATTTTCATTGGTTTGAAACTAACTTTGATAGAAAAATATAAAGTTTTCAATTTTGTAGCCCATACGCATTTCGGATATCTACACATTAGCCCCCTTTGGAAATAAACCCTCCTCGCGTACTCTCATATTCAAGCCTCTTCCCCTAAAGCCAAAATCATCTCTAATTCTTCTTTCTCGCAAACTACTCCACCATACGAAATCCTTTCTCTAATACCCATTCTTCTCTAATCTAAATCTCCTCTTTCTCTAACACCAAATTCGTTTCTTAAGCTTCTCCCTCTCGTACCATATTCTCTAAAACACATGAACCTCTTGCACCTCTCATACCATCTTTAATCATTCTTTCGTTATGTTCGACAGTCTTTGATATCCTTCTTACCTGTTAAAAAAACGCTCTTTTAAAAATTATTTATTAAATCTATCATTTCTGATAGTAGATATAAAAAAGTTTATAATAATTAATCGAAATTTTGGAACCAAAAATTATGATATATATTCTTCTCAGGAACCATTAAGACCATGAGACCTATTAGACTCAATGGCGGTTACGATGGAATGAGAAGTAACTAAATTATTAGCATCGGAAAAAAGACTTTCTGATGGTACAAAGGTAGCTGGAATAGAAGATACTTCATTGTCATTTTATGAAATATAGCTTTATTTGTTGCCTACCATATAAAGGAATCATACTCCTCAAGAGCTGGTAATTCTGGTAAATTAAGGTAATGTTGGACGATTAAACAAAAATGAGGACATTTGTAATCGTTAATCTCAGTTAATTGAAGCAAAGCGCGAACCAATTAAATTCATTATATATTGAAAGTTAAAAATTAAAAATAATGAATATAAAATTATAAATTGTCCTGGATACTCAATAGGACAATTATACTTTTGTAAATGTGGTAATGATTCACCCTTTCTCGTTGTTATTAATGATAATCGAATATTAAACCAAATTTTAATTTTTTATTGTATATATAGAAATTTTATTGGGAAATTTATTAATACAATAAAAAAATAGGTTAAATTCCAACAATTTTTCATCAATAGATATTAAATATTTAATTGTTATTGAACGTATTGAAAAAGTAGTCTCTTCTTATTGACAGGACAAGTTATTCTAATGTTTGCTATTCGCGTCATCCTCTTCGAAGTTAATCTTGATGAGAGGAATTTTATTTGTGCAAAATCACATAAATGAGAAAAAAATGTTAAAATTTTTCAAAAAAAAAAAAAAAAATTTAAAAACATAAAAATTAAATAGCAAAACGTCTTTACCAAATAAAATCAAAAAATGATTTTAAATATACATAAAAATGCTACCATAGAATCCGAATTTTTGAAGCTAAAGAAATGATGATTATATTGCGAATGCAGCAGATTTTGTCTATGCTTTATCAATCAATGCTTAAAAATAATTTTTTTTTTTTTTTTTTTTCCTACATTAATAATATATAACATTGATTGCGAGCGATATACTGTATATGAACAATAATAATGATAATGATATTTTATTTACTATTACTAAGATCAACGGCTAACACGAAATAAAGAATTAAAAAGTGAACGAACTGCTGTAAATTTATTTGCTAAAAATTATTACATATATAAATAAGTAGTTAATGAAAAATAATGATTTTGTTTCAAGATTATCAAAGATCAAAAAAAAATAAAGATCAAAAAATCGTAAAATTTAAAAATAATGGCTTTAAAGTTTTAACAGAGTCACCAACTATATAGTAGCAAATGCACAGCCTATAGGCTCAGATGTATATCCAACACCAACTGTCAAAACGTACGAACTAGTTAAGTTGCCTGGTACTTCAACTGTCATCGTTTTGGTATATTGGTCACCAGCTTTAATTGGGCATCGCCCTTTAGTACAAGCAAATTCCTCGAATACTACGGTATTTTTATTTAAATCAACAAATGAAATCACAATTCTGGTATTTTTGCCAACATCTCTTGACAATTTTCCGGAAACAGTAAATGTATTCATTTGTTTAGCTCGGCTGAAAGTGACACTTGAAGTAAGGGAGGTGGGGTCGTTGAACCTTCTGGTGGGGGACATTGTTTAAAGGTGGTGGTTCTTTTAATAAGTTTATGTGGAATTGCATTGACCATGGTGAGTGTGACCAATAAGAGGAATGCAAAAATAAATTTTCGGTCCATGATTATAATTTCTTTGAGAAGTTGACTTTATTGAGTTTTTTGGTGAATATTAGTTTTGTTTGTTATCAAAATTCTTAAATTCAGAGTAAATTGAAATCAGTGCCTTTTTTATAAGAAAACAAAGTCGAATTCCTTTAACAAATAAAAATTGTAATTTTCAGTAGACCTTTGTATTCTAATCTACTGTTTCTAGAATGAGATTTTTTTTATTGAGATTTTCATTATGATCTGTGGTCATCATCCTATTTTGTTTTAATTAAACTTTTGTTAATAAAAAGAAAATTAAAGCTATATAGTACGAATTTATTCAAATATTTGAAACTAAGTACGAAACCAATTTAAAGATGAGGTAGGGATTGGAATCGATTCTAATAAAAATCGAATCTTTTTTTTTTATGACGATATATGACATAATATACTGATCAACACATGTCTATTTAAAAGTCGATAGTTGATAGAATAGCCCATTACGGCACTATCAAAACTTCAAACTTTTCTTACATTTGATTAAAAAAAAACCTTATGGCAACCACTACACGAAGTAAATATAAACAAATGCTTAAAGAAGCAAAGAAATTGGAAGAGAGAAACTTAGCACAAGAAATAACAGAAGAAATAATTCAAGAAAGTGAAAGTGATTCCGACTATGAAGATGAAACAGATATTCAATCTGAAAATAGTTGTGCTAACAGTACAAGTAATTAGTGATAATACAATTCAAATATTATAATGGTTGATGATATAGAAATTAATAATAAATCTTCATCAAAAAAGAAAAAAAAAAATCCTTCAATTAAAAATAAAAAACCTAAAACAAGTTGGGTATGGAAATTTTTCATAATCAATGAAGATAATACTAAAACTATTTGTCAAATTGAAGGTTATGAGAAAATACTTACATGGTGTGATTCTTCAAGTTCAATGAAAATACATTTGTTAGATTCTCATAATATTACTAAAGCTATTGCAATAAAATATAATAAAAAAGAATTAACATGCAATTCTCAACAATCTGATGAAATTAAACCATATCATCCTTCTAAACAAGTATCTTTAACTCAATGTTGTAGGATTTGTTATTGGTACAATACAACCTTTATGTATTATAGAAGATCCAAATTTCATTAATATGATAAATAGCTTTGATCAATATTATAGAATTCCTGTATTAAGACTCTTAAAGATCAAATTTCAACAATTTATGAAATAGAAAAAGATGTACTTAAAAATCAACTCATCAAAATATAATATATTTCTTTAACAATAGATACTTAGAATTCATCAGCTTATTTACTTTATTTAGATGGGATAGCACATTAGATATCTTTTAAATTTAAATCACATGTAATTTGTAAGTCATGCTAAATTCAAATCGAGTTAAATATTTAACTCAACTCGATTTAAACTCAAATCAAACTTGATTTGACTTAAGTTGATTTAAAATATTATAATTAATAAATTAATATTTTAAAACTATAAATATTATATATTATAATAATTGAAATACTTTATATATAATAGTTGATATATTATAATAATTAATAATTGAAATTTATTTTATTTATTTAAATTATAAATTTTAAATTTTGTTAGAGATGCGTAAAGTTAATTATTTTTTATTAATAAAATAATTAAACATTAAATCTGTATAATCAGACCTTTATTTTAATGATTTTTTTATTGATAAAATATATAAAAAATAAAAAAAATTATAAAATTAATTAACAAATCTAATTTTTTATAATACTTGCTTCTTTTTCTATTACTTTAGCAGTTTTTTTAGTTAAAATAATTGCATTAGTATATTGAATGCTACCTTCACTTAAATTAAG